GAAGTTTGGTATTTTTGGTATGACGATTTGGGGGAGAAAGATGAGGGCATATATAATTAGCTCTCATTAGTTGTACTTTTATTGAAAATGGATTTTCGTGCATATTTATACAAATCAACATAATGTTGGAACATTTTGCTAACCATATGAGGTTTAGATGTTAGATTTGTAAATTCATACGAATTGTGTGGTTCACATGTAAAGCTTCATAAAAAAAATTATAGTTGGATCTCAAATAATAGCTGTGAATTTTGATAGTTTTACTTTCATATGTATTAATGTGATATCCATTGTTTGTCTAAAACATGAACTCTTGTCCATGCTTTCACTTTTATTATGCAGTCACACTTATTGTGCAAATTTAATAAAGTCATATTTATGTTGGGATAGGGTTAATGATTCCGATGATAATAATTAATACATGCCATATTTGTCAAAGTTGTCTTAAAAATCAATACTCAACATTAAAACTTTAGATCTCACCAACTTTGATTTAGATGTATTTACAAAAAGAAATAACAAAATTATTTTAAGGAATCATTCATTTCTCTTTAATATTCGATAATCATTATATTGAAATGTTTGATATGTCTTTTATGTATTATATAATATATTTTCTCATGTTTTTTGTTAGATTGATGTAAGGAACTTTGAATTGCTTAATTATTTTAATTTGTTCTAGAAAAAAATGAAGAATATTTATTATTATCATATAATTGAAACATTGTGCAACATAGGAGACAACACACCATCAACTATATAGGAAAAAGAAACAAAGATGATTTTTTGAGACATTTGTTTGAAGGAGATTGAAATAATAAATAGGTCAATAATAGATTTCAACAAATAAGATTGGTAAAATATTACAGAAACAATTCAAGAGATAATAAAAAAATTATATGATCAAACTTAATTAAAGAACAAATGAATCAATTAAAAAACATTAGAAAATCTGGAAAGAGCTTTAAGGAAGATCAACTAAACTTGGGTGAGGTCCAACTAAAAACATCATAGATGCATCAACAGATTGGTGGAAGAAGTTTGAAGTGAAATAAATTTTAAGTTATTTGTATTTCTATTTCATCTATACAGACTTATTGGACATAACTTTTGCTTACGATTGTACAAATTATAGGTTGTGCCAAATGCTAAGAAGTTTTGGTTTGGTAGAATCGAACATGAGTTATAGAAACTTGGCCTCATATTTAGTGGTGTTGTTGACTGATAAACATGTTTGGACTCCTCAAAGTTTGCAAGGACGTAGAGAGAGTCCGATTAATTTTATTCAAAGTTGTTCACATGATATAGATGAATATAATGAATCTAGTCATGATAGGACTCTACATTCTTTAAAAGCAAGGACGATTTACAACAAAAAATTGGCCTTATGTATATAAGAAGTCAAATATGATAATTAGTTACAACATGCACACATTTGTCTTTTGAGGCTAACTTTGTGCAACCATCAACATCTATTACTAATATAATAAAGAAATTACAACAAATAACTAAGCGTTATGAAGATATTTTCTTATATCTGCACTCAATGAAGATACTTGAAGATTTGGTAGAGGTTTTCACATTCACGGTTCCTGAGAGGAGGTTCCATAACTTGCACTTCTATGAAAATCATAAGAACTTATTCATATTAGTTCTATGTGTTTAAAGCAGAGTACATTTGACATTTTAGTAGAATAACTATTTTGATGTAAATTTTTTGATAGAACTACTCGTGATGTTAGTTTTTATGATGATATTTTTGGGTAGAGCAACTAATTTTGACGTTAGTACTCTTGATGTGTCATTTTATTTGATACAGTGATATTTTATTTTACTTGTGATATATGGTGATGTTTATTCTTGTGATGCTTTATGTGTGATGTTAGTACTTGTGATATATTGTGCTTTGGTGTTCAAACTTGTGATATATTGTGTTGTGATGTTAGCATTTATGATATATTGTATTGTGATGTTTATACTTTTGATATTTTATTTTTTAATATTAGTGTTTCCAATATCATCTATTGCAATGTTTATACATGTGATATCTTGTGTTGCGATATTAATACTTATGATATCTTTTGTTGTGATGTTTATGCTTGTGACATATTTTGTTGTGATGTTTATGCTTGTGATATATTGTGTTGTGATGTTAGTACTTGTGATATTATGTTTATAATATATGTGATATTACATTAATACTTGTGCCATTATATTCTCAAATACAGCATTTGTAATATCTAATGCGCATAATTTTTACAACAATGAATTATAATAATAAAGAACATAAAGAGTGTTTAAAAAAAAAATATTACAACTATATGTGTGTTGTCTAATCTCTCACACTCAATGTATGACATCAACATTTAAAGGGACAAGCAGATAAATGAACTATTTGGGAGGCATCTAATGAGATTTCATAATATTTCGTATGAAAAATAATTTCTATTGATTTTTTGAAGGAAAATGCACACTAGTCAAGATCTTCGTGAATCTTCTAAAATGACTTCAAGAGAGACATTAACTAAAACATTTTATATTTTATCATATAAAAAAGTATAAGGGCAACTTGTGAGAGATTTTAACACTTATTTGAAATAATCAATATATATTTTTCAATTTGTTTGAATGCTTTGGTCAGTATGTCTTTTGAAGTTATCAACTCAGAGATCTAACATTGCAAAACATTCCTAGAGAAATATCATGTGATCATCGATATATATTTTATTTCGAAGTATATTGCAACCATTCTTATTTTTTCAAAAATTCAAAGAATTTTGAAATTTGAACTGATTACTATGTGATATAAGACTGTATTGGTGCTATTGATGAGACACATGTTGATTCACGTGTAAACTATTGATAAGGTTGCATAAATTGGACATTATGGTTAATTTATACATAATATAATGACAATATACGACTTAAATATGTGTTTTATTTTTGTGAAAACTGGTTGGGAGGGCAGTGCTCACGATAGTCAAATCTTCAAATTTGCAATATGATCTCACTTTTCTTATACCGCTTCAAGTTTGGTTGACTCTAAAGTAAGTATTTTATTAACTTTTGATTGAGAAATTAATGGTTTAAAATATTATAATGGATATTGTATATCCATTACTACAAGAATTTCTTAAGTTTTTTTTCAATCCAAAATATCACATTCTAGGATTTGAAAGTACTAGGCAAATTGTACGAAAGTGATATTTAATAAGCTTCACTTATCATTACGGGGTGTCATGGAAAGTATTTTTTGGAGTTTGAAAGAAAAAATGAGTTATTTTACAAAATATGCCTACATATTCTATAAATATGCTTAAATTATCACGACAATAATGATGCTACATAATCACATAGTCGTCATCATTCGCATTTTGATGTTAACTTTATAAGTGTAGATGAAAACAAACCAGTGTTTTCTAAAATATATGAATATCGATTGACATAATTAATGATGAATATAAATGATGATATTGTCAACCGTTGCGTTGGCGATGAAGAAAATGATAATGAGATGGTAGAGTTACAATAAAAAATCACCGTTGTTTTAGTTAATAGTTGATTCAATATTATATGGTTGATTGTATGAGCGAGCATTAAATAATGTAATTGATGGATGACTGAAATGCTAATTGTGCTGATATATTTTTTTCATATATTTCTTGCTTTAATTTTAGTTAAACTGTTATATGTTATGAGAGAAGTTAAAAAATTTGCAGTAATTTGGAATTTTGGTTTCACTTGTTAGTTTTTTATTAGTATTAGTGATGGCTGATGGGGATTTTATTGATGATTGGTAAAAAACAACTATGAGAATGTGGGAATTCAATGGTGTACGTGGCTTTCAGTATCATGGTGCAAATGACGAGGCGACAAGTGAAGGAGATGTATCTAGGGTTGAAGGACAGTGGAAGGCCCCTTTATTTTATTGTTTGTTCTAAAGTTACATTTAAAGAAGCTTTTATGGAAGGTAAAGTGTCCCCAAATGGGCCTTAGAGTTATAACAATTTAACTTTGAGTCCACTTTTGTACTTCTACTTGTTGAATACAATACAATTAAATATTAGAATTACAAATATCGATAAAAACTATGAATTCTTTATGATATGAATAGATGTGTATTTCAAACATTTTTGAAAGACCATTTTCAAAACTAAAATTTTCAAACAAAACAACTACTTTTGGAACACTAGTTTTTAAGCAACATATTGTTCTCAACAATTTTTGAACTGAGATTTCATGCATCCACAACTATCCCAAAGACCCCTAAGTCTAAATATTGAGTTATGACTACCACGTTTCCAAAGATTATTAAGCTTCATGGATATCCATATTAACTTAGTTTTTCTTAGAATAATGCTGCTCATCTACGTGAATATGATACTAGTTCCATTCAAAGGCTTGCCAAACTCGTTTATCTTGAACACAAAAAAACATATTGAAGTTGATTATTGTTCAATATAGAAGCATACGAGACTTGTGTTATATCTTTTCCTCACATTTCTACAAACTCTGATTGCGAATATATATGGTTGTCACGTCATATCCTGTGTATATATTATATACACGGGACATGGCATGACAACAACATCAGTTCCTTTTGGGAAAGTTGATGCTTATTGAAAAACCAACATCAATTTTAGAGATGTCGGTTAGATATCCCTTAATGATATGCTATAATTAACCTTCCATTAATTATGAGTATAAATTTATGCAATTATTTTCTTTTATTGTAAAAAGTACTTTAGTAGTATAATTAGAGATTCTTTTGTTCTTCTAGGTCTAATTGGTAAATTACTTAAATATGGCATTGTTTCATACACATTCTTTTATATATAATAATGAGAACTCTTTAGGCGAGGTTAAGCAATTTGCACAACCAATTTCTCAGTAAAGATGAGGCCGAGCTACAGCTTTGCAACAGTGAATTCCTGCTGCATTGATTTTCTTTATTTACTTTAGTAGTATTTTTCTAATTTTTTATTTTTCAATTTTATTAGTCTTCTCAGAATTTTGTGCACGGTTCATCTGTTCGTTCAACGTCTATTGGAAGGCTGCCCATCTCAACATATTCGACACCTCTTGTGCCTCCAGCATTTTCGTCTCCTCTTGTGCCCCCAACACTTTTGCCCCCAAGTAAAACTTTGAAAACTCCATCTCCCATTCCACCAATTGATCTACCTGCTCCTAAGCCTGCACAGAGAAGGTAATGCTATCATCTAGTAAAGTTTGGTAATTGGTTATCACTTTTAATTTTATTGCTTGAAAGCCTATGACTATGACCTTTCCTCAATACCTTCTTTTTAAAGAAATTCTTATAGTTATTCTTATTTTTATACACGTGAGAATGTTATGTGAAGTTATAATTAGCTAAACTAGTTGTACTAGTGCATGCCTGGTAGCTCAATTTTGTTAGAATCCCTAGAATCGGGCATGACTAATTCAGCATATATTATCGAGGCCATTTGTTCTCGACTAACATGATTTCAGTGATAATTCAAGTAAGAGCTATAATATGCGTAGATGAGTTATGCCTTGTTATAAAGCATTTGATAAAATTGCTTAATGAAAATTTTCATGCCATTTGTAGGAGCTTGCTTAAGGCTACAGAATGACTTTAACAGCTTGCAAACCTTACTTTCTTTTCCCTGGAATACAGATCTTTCATATTGATTCATATACACTTCTACACTCAAGTCACCATTTTAAAAAGTATTTCATAAACATGTAATTCACAGATTGATGCTAAGCTTAATTATACCCAAATAACTGTTATGCGCATACATATCAAAACAAAATATGCCTTTATTTTGAGTGAATCGTTTGGCAACTAATCTTGCCTTAAAGGTAAAAAAAAAAGAAGAAAAATTTGTATTGAAGGTTTGATGGAACTATTAAATATTTGTCTTTTCCCCTTCTCTTCAACTCCACAGAGTGCTGATGAGAACTCTTTCTCTCTCTCCCCCGCCCCCTCCCTGGATACAATCATTTTTCCATTCCAACTTCAGGAACATGTCTAGTTCTTAGCTTTTCCTTTCAACTTTCTCGTATTTTCATTGCTTCAGACTGTACAGTGCAGTCCGTAAATTTTATTTCTTTACATTGTAATATATATCTCGTGCTAAACGTGGAATGAAGCATTTGCACATTTTATAGCTCATTGACCGTTGTACCTGCTATAGATTATCAGCTGATATCGGGCATCTAAATCCCAAAGAAAATGGAATCGATCGTCAGGCTTCTGCACTTCAAGATGAGGTATTGTGCTCTTTTTTCAGCTCAATTAACTCTTTTGTTCAATTTCTTTAAATGCCATTCAGTGAACTGACCTTAACAAAAATTCTTTCCAATGATATTTGTGCGCCATGCAGCTTGATATGCTACAGGAAGAGAATGAAAATATGATTGAAAAGGTTTGTTCTCATTGTATATACATAACCACCACTTAAGATGAGGTCTTTGGCTATATTTTAAACATTTTTATCCAGTTACGGCATGCTGAAGAGAAACGTGAGGAAGCTGAGGCACGAACCAGGGAGCTTGAGAAGCAGGTTTCCGTCTCTTTTTTGTAGAAATTGTTTTATTAATGTGTTCTAATTTCTTTATTGTTACCTGTAGGCATAACTGCTATAAATGAGTCAGCACGCAAGATTCTTTTTTACTGAGCTCTTAGACCAAGCATGATGCTTTGTGCTGCATTGAAACCTACTTCTACAATCTTTACTGTTTGCGACGGTTTCATTTTTCCCACCTCAGCTTAGATGTGCTGATATTTCTGAAATTTTAGCCATACTGCTATATTTACCAGCATTGGCAATTAAGCCGTAGTTACAGAGTTAATATTGAAGCCTACTGTGGTTGCTTTAAATAGTATTACAAAAGCCTCTTTGAAGCTATCCGTGTGAAACATGAGATTTTGGAATTTCAAACCATAGAGCTTTTGCTTCCTACTTTATTTAAAAACATCAAAGGATTATGCTTGAGCTGAAAGCTCAATGAACTTATCACCTACCATACTTCTATTGTATGTGTTGTGTCTTAGTAAAGTGTATATTTCTCTTTGTTGTTATATTTTTATCTGTAATTATCTAATCAAACCATATTCGCTTGTTATTTCCTTTGATCCTACATGGTGTAACATTTGCTATTTCGGCTTTTGATTTGGATCTTCCTTTGCTGCTTTTTTCCAACAAATTCCATTCTCTCTTTCTCCCATATTGACATCTCATAGGGTTTTGTGTGAACCCTCAATTTAGGTTGTCACCTCCTATCTTGTTGGCTTCCTGCTTCACATAGGCTCCCCCTCGGTCTCATTTGGAAATTGCTCTTTTAGTTTCCAACCCTTTTCGTTTCCTTCCAAATATTGCTGGTTGGCTTAATGTTTCAATTGTTCAATAAGTCTTAACAAACAACCATTTTCTTCTATATTTTCATCAAGATCCAATATCACCTCGACATAAGCATCCATTTATGTATAAATTCAAACATTTGTTATCTTCATTGAAGAGGACATCTAGGAGGTAGGATTATATATTATTTAATTAAAACCAATAAACCCCTAACCAAACCTATTTGGATGATTTGATTTAGTTTAATATGGTTTGATAATTGGTTCATATTTTTAAACTATTTACTTTACAGTTATTGATTGATTTTTTTAAGTAAAATTAGTGATATTGGAGTTATCCTAAATAACGCTAAGAAAAATAAATATTATTACTGAAAACAAATTGATGGTTATAACCAAACACGCTTGAAAGACCAAATATAACAACACGAAAAATAAACTTACACTGGGTTCCGATCCCAGGATGGCAGTGGTCGGCTAGAAGGATTGGAAAAGGGGTTTTACGTGACTGGAATTGTGGAAACTGTGTGTGACATCTTGAATTCCTGAGGAAACCGAAGAGGGGGAGAGGAAGTAAGGAGTTGGGAAACCGAAAAGGGGGAGAGGAGGCGAGGAATCGTGAAAACAAAATGGTATTATCCCTCTATAAATGGCTGCAATTGACTTACCTGAAGGTTGAGCATCTTTGTTGGAGGAAAAGACTGCTATGCTCTGGTCAATCGAAGGTGAAGTGTGAGCGCAGAGGAGGCGAGTACTGGAGACAACGAGCATAAGCATGGGCTTTCACTTAGCCGACATTGTCTCTCTGTCAAGCAGAGGCGACGACATTAGTGTGAAGCAGAGGAGGCGACATCAGTTTCAAGCAGATGAGGCGACGTCTGCGTCTTGCGGCGAATCAAAGGAAATTGAGAGGAAGGAGCATTTGTGTGTAGGAAGGAGGCAAAATCGCGTGTAGAGTGGATGAAAATTTTCGTGTGGTTTAGGGTTTGATCGGGACTTTAAAGTCATATCTCAATATAAATTTTATGTGAAAACTGGGAGTCATTCATTAAGATGAAAAGTTAATATTGTCATACTTAATAAGATATGACATGCGGTATATTTTTAAATTTCGAGGATGAAATTTTTGTAAGTAGTGAAGATTGTGACAGCTCGAATACCCGAGGAAACCGAAGAAGGGGAGAGGAAGCGAGGTGTCGGGAAATCAATGAGGGGTAGTTGAAGTTAGTAGTCGGGAAAATGAAAGGGTAATATCGCTCTATAAATTATCACAATCGACTTACTAGAAGTTTGGGCGGCTCTGTTGGAGGAAGGGTTGCAATGTCCTGCAGATCGAAGGAAGATGGGAAGCTCTCGTGAAGTGCGAGCGTAGAGGAGGCGAGTGCGGGAGACGACGAGCGTAAGCCAGGGCTTTCACCTAACCGAAGTCAATGAACAACGATGTCTCTGTCAAATGGTGGAGGTGACATCGATGTCAAGCAAAGGAAGAGGAGCCAACGTTAGTTTGATGCGCCTGAGCGTAGGAAATCGAGAGGAAGGAGCTCTCGTGCATAAAAAGGAAGCAAAATTGTTACAGAGGGGAAGAAGAAAATTTTCGTGTGGTTTAGGGCTCGATTAGTACTTTAAAGGTAAACTTTAGTAATTTTATTGATTTAATAAGAAAATTATATATATATATATATATATATATATATATCTGCAAAGGTTTTTCAAGTATAGTCCCAATTGCATATAAGGTAGGTAGATCAAAGAATTGAAGCTTTAGTTTAGGTAATTAGAACTAGATAGATGCAATTGAGGGTTCTTGACTGGGATCAAAATCATGGGTCCATTTGAGCAATTTCATATGATTGCCCTTAATTGTGATTAATTTCCTTGAGAAAATCATTGTGTAATCTTCTTCTATGTTCAGCTGTATCATAATATGTTTTCCGTTGAAAAGACCACCTGCCCCAACTAATTTGAAATCTTCAAAAACCTTCATGACAATCTCTATTTTAGGGCGACATAATTGGAATTTTTCAACTAGTAAAAATTTGTACTTTCCTGCACGAGTTGAAATTTTAGCGTCAGAGAAAAATAGTGCTGGTTTGCCCGTCTTTTTCTTTATTTTTTGGTGAGATTGCAATCTCCATGTCCTGCAACAGAATCATGGTAAATCTGCGGGAACATCAGACTATCTGCAAGGTGGAAAGGAGAGCTGTGTTTGTGAAATACTGTAGCATCGAAGGGTTTGACGAGATTATCACCGGCGAGGGCGGCGGCATAGGAAAGCCCTGAGGCCATTAAAATGCTTCAACAAGCACAGCAGGACCTGACGCAACTTTCCACGAACGGGATGCGAATCGAGCAGAACCGGTGAAACTAAATCTGCAGGACATTACACTACTAGATGTAGAAGAAGTCTGGTTTGACTCTGCGCATAATAGTTATTGACAAAAAATCATTATTATGGAACAAAAACCTTACTAAACCTTACTACTGCAAGTACTGCAAGATGTTTGGACACCCGCAAGAGAAATATTTCAGATTGCACTCACAGTTGAAAACTAATTTTCAAAAATAGGAACATACTGTTAGTGCACCCCACGTGCCTGAACGCGCTCCCAACAAACCTGATGACAGCCAACCTGAGGAGTGAATCACCACAAAACAGGAAATGATGTTTGCTCCTGGGAACCATTCTCCTAACCATACCATAAGAGATAATGTTCGGACCGAAAGTTGTGCTAGCCCCACAGCTCCTATTCAGGAAGCTTCAGGTGCAAATGTGATAATTCACACTTCACATACACTGGAACCTATCGCTGTGGAAATGACAGCCGTTCCTTCTACTGCAGTTCTAATATCTAATCAGACCGATGATCACATGAGCCAGTCATAAGATGAAAAATGACAGGTTTACACTTCTCGGAGGAAGAAGAAGGCTGGGGGCACACTCCAACTTGGAAACTTAATGGATGATACATTGGCTACTCCTGACAATGATGTGACACTTCAAAATTTGTTATCTGACTCCACTCCTAAAACTAGAGGAAGAGGTAGGACTAAACTGGCGCGTCCATAGCTACTTGTTTTTTTTTGCATATTTTAAATTTTTTTATTTTATCTGTATATTTTTGTTGGGGAAGTATGTATCGGTAGGGTGTCTCTTTTGGGCCCACTCATACTACCTTTATGTATATATATATATATATATATATATATTGTAATGTTAATAAAAAAAATTATTAATTTAGGACTTTTGGTTAGAATTTTAGATTGAAGGGGAATAGAAGGAGGTGAAACGTGTCAACTAGAGGAGGAAGATTGACCCGAGCAAACTTCGGTAAGAAAAGTATGGGTTTATATTATAATTTAATTAATGAATTTTAATAGAAAAATAATGTTAATTAAGATTTCATACAATAAAACAATGAAAATTAATAATTAAATAATGTGTGTATTTGTGCATATATACTAGAGCTCAGGAGTCTTATGGATGATACTTTATGGATGATACTTTGGTTACGATGATACTTTGGTTACTACGGGTAATGATCAACACCTTACCAATCTGCTAGCTGGATCACTACCGAGAACTAAAGCCAGAGGCAAGATAAGATTGAGATGACCCACACTTTTTCAACGCTCGGGTGGTTTTTGAGTTTCTTTTTATTTCTATATGTACCAATCTTTTATATTTTTTGGTGTTTGTTGTAACGTGTGAGTTGGGTGTTTAGGCCCACCTATACAAACCTATCTGTATCTTTATCTTTAATATATCAGCCTATATATTGAATGTGATGAATACATAAATTATATATCTATACTGACTGTTTATATGTTCATGATTGACTATGATCAAGTTACTCTTTTATGGTACTATCGGGTGACGTTAAGATACCCGTGCACATAATTGAAAAAAAATATTAATATTGAAATATCTCAATTAGTATAATTTTTTGACGATACTCTCCTCTGATAGTTGTACAAATATAAAATGATATAAATTTGCTATTATATAGTAAGACTTGTTGAATAACATCATATTCTTAAAATATCATTTGTTTATATTGATTTATTAAAACTGTAACGAACAAACATATTGTTTTTTCCTTTTTATTACTATTGTTTAAGAGTGTGAGTACTCATCGGCTTCGCTTAATTCACAATTGTTTTAAATTAACTTATTAGGTGTAATTAATTTATTAAAAGATGAGC